GAGGTGCCCAGAGAGGGTAAAAAACGCGGAGCTGGGGCAGAGGGAGCACCCCAGAGCTCTGGCAGGGACACGTCCCTGCTGCCCCCACCATGCCCGTGCCCCCCAGGCGCCCGGCCCTGCAGCCCCAAGTTCTTCGGCCGTGACTCCATGGTCTGTGTCTGCAACGCCACGTACTGCGACACGCTGGACCCCCTGGTCCTCCTACGTCAAGTACGAGAGCAGCAAGGCCGGCAAGCGACTGGAGCGCAGCGAGGGGAGCTTCCAGCCCAGCCCACACACCCCAGGTACCCGCTGCGGCCGAGAAGGGCCAGACCCTGCCCATGACCTGCTGTCACACCAGCTTCCCTCCCTGCAGATCTCATCCTGACTGTGGACACAACGCAGCGGTACCAGAAGGTGAAGGGTTTTGGTGGCTCCCTCACCGATGCAGTTGCCATCAATATCCTTTCCCTGCCAGAAACAGCCCAGGATCACCTGCTTCGCTCGTATTTCTCTGAGGAAGGTGAGAACATTGGGGGAGGTGGGAGGGATGGTGATGTGGGACCCTGCAGACCTCTTCCCGGGAGCTGACGAGGCTTGGAGACCTCCCATCCCACTGCCACCTCTGCCTGTCCCACCCCGCTGTGCCTGGCAGGGCTGGAGTACAACCTCATCCGGCTCCCCATGGCCAGCTGCGACTTCTCCCTCCGTGCCTACACCTACGACGACGTTCCCTTTGACTACGAGCTCAACCACTTCAGCCTGCGAGATGAGGATACAAAGCTGAAGGCGAGTGGTGAGAGGGAGGAGGGCGGGATTTCAGGGGGGCACAGGGACTCAGGTCAGGTGGTCCCTGTTCTCTCTCCTGCAGATCCCCCTCCTGCACCGAGCCTTGGCCATGAGCAAGCGGCAGCTGTCACTGTACGCAAGTCCCTGGACCTCCCCTTCCTGGATGAAGACCAGCGAGTCCTTCGTGGGGAAGGGCACGTTGAAGGGGCAGGCAGGGGACAAGTACCACAAGACCTGGGCCAACTACTTTATCCGGTAAGGAGCACCTGGGCGAGGGGATGGGGACCTGGCAGGTACAGACAGGGGAGATACCCAGGGGATCTGCAGCGGTGGCCTTGGGAGACACCACGGCTCACCCTCTCCCTGCGCCCAGGTTCCTGGATGAATACGCCAAGTACAACCTGACCTTCTGGGCGGTGACGGCAGAGAACGAGCCCTCAGCTGGGCTGATCAACAACTACCCCTTCCAGTGCCTGGGCTTCACAGCCGAGCAGCAGCGGGACTTCATCGCACGGGACCTGGGCCCTGCACTGGCCAACAGCTCCCACCGCGATGTGCAGCTCATCATCCTGGACGACAACCGGCTCCACCTCCCGCACTGGGCCAAAGTGGTGAGTGCAGCCTGGAGTCTGCCAGCACGGTGAGCTGGGCAGAGCCCCGGTCCTGCTGGCACAGCATGTCCCTGTGGAGGGCTCAGCTGCTCTATCCTGCAGCATTGAGGGCTGGGGTGCTGGCTCTCCACCCCGTGGGACTTAGCGGTGGCCGACTCTTCCTCCCTGCCAGGTCCTGGGGGATGAAGAAGCAGCTCGCTACGTCCACGGCATTGGCATCCACTGGTACCTGGATTTCATCGGTCCCATACAGGACACGGTGGTGCCCACTCATGAGCTCTTCCCTGACTACTTCATCCTGGCCACGGAGGCGTGTATTGGGGCCCACTTCTGGGAGAGGGATGTTATCCTGGGCTGCTGGGAGCGAGGCAACCAGTACAGCCACAGCATCCTGATGGTGAGCTCCCCTTGCCACCCCACTCCCGGGGAGAGCTACCAGCACACTGCCTCTCCCTTCCGCACCGCAGTCCTTGGGCTGTCCTGTTGCAGAACCTGAACCACTTCGTGGTTGGCTGGACCGACTGGAACCTGGCCCTGGACCTGGAGGGGGGCCCCAACTGGGTCAAGAACTATGTGGACAGCCCCATCATCGTGGATGCCAGTGAAGGCATCTTCTACAAGCAGCCCATGTTCTACCACATGGGGCACTTCAGGTGCGTTGGGGCCCCCCAACATGCTCTCAGCTATCCAGGCTTCAGCTCCATGGTTGCAGCAGCAAGCTTGTTGGGAAGGAAGATGGGTGGGTTTGTTGGGAGGAGAGCGGTGCTGGGGTCTGACTCCCTTCCTGGCGTTGCTTCTTGCTCTTGCTCGTGCAGCAAGTTCATCCCCGAGGGCTCCCAGCGCGTGGGGCTCGTTGCCTCCAGAGAGTCCAAGAAGACAGATCTGGAGTACACAGCTTTCCTGCGCCCCGACGGCGCTGTGGTGGTCGTGATTCTGAACCGGTGAGTGATGCGGCCAGCGAGCGCAGCACCCCATCTGTGTGTGGCTCATCCTGCTGGGCCTTGTGCACCACTGGTGCTTGGGAGCTGCTGCAGGTCTGACCCCACTGCTCCTCACCCCCCAGGTGCCCGCAGAACATCACCTTTGGGTTGGCCGATACGGTTGGCCTCATCACAGCTGTGGCTCCCGCCAACTCCATCCAGACCTCCCCGTGGCGGC